CCCTTCCTCCCTACCTTCCTTCCTCCCTCTTACCCTTCCTTCCCTCCCTTTCTCCTTCCTCCCTCCCTTCCCTCCCTCCCCTCCTTCCTTCCTCCCTTCCCTCCTTCCTCCCTCCCTTCTCTCCCTCCCTTCCTCCCTCCTTCCTCCCTCCCTCCCTTCCCTCCTCCCCCCCTTCCTTCCCTCCTCCCTCCCTCCCTCCTTCCTTGCAGATTTATTCATTTATTTGAAAGGCAGAGATACAGAGAGGCAGAAACAGAGAGAGGGAGGGGGGTCTTCCATCTGCTGGTTCACTCCCCAGGTGACTGTAATGGCTGGAGCTAGGCCGACCCCAAGCCAGGAGCCAGGAGCTTCTTCTGGGTCTCCCACATGGGTGCTTTCCCAGGCCATAGCAGAGAGCTGGATTGGAAGTGGAGCAGCCGGGATGTGAACCAGCATTCACATGGGATTGCTGGCGCTTCAGGCCAGGGCATTAACCCACTGCGCCACAGCGCCGGACCCTGATAATCAATGCTCTTAAACTGTTGAAATCCTTACTTAATGTATACTAAGCTGATCTTCTGTATATTAAGATAATCGAAAATGAATCTTGAGGTGAATGGAAGGGGAGAGGGAGTGGGAAAGGGGAGGGTTGTGGGTGGGAGGGACGGTATGGGGGTGGGGAGCCATTGTAATCCATAAGTCGTACTTTGGAAATTTATATTCATTAAATAAAAGTCAAAAAAAAAATTAAAAAAAAAATCAATGCTCTTTAACTCCTCCTCCCCTTCCACCTCCATCTCTACCCGGATAACTTCTCCTCCATGGGACTGACACTAATCAGCCTGCAGAGGTGACAATCCCCATGCTACCAGCACTCTTCCTACTATGTATGTGTGTGTGTACCCACACACAAGGGCTGAGACTAGATTAACACCTAGTGAACAGCCTATCTGGATCAAAGCTCTTATTTATTACTTTAGCTTTGCATAGAACTATTTTGACTGAAAGCCTGTTCCAATGCTCAGAGACCACACTGAGGCTCACACCTGGCTTCCTGCCAAAAGCAGAGTGCTCTCACCCACTGGTTTACTCCCAAAATGTCTGCAATGGCCAGGACAGGGACAGGGCCAAAGCCAAGAGCCAGGAACTCAACCCAAGTCTCACCTGTGGGTGGCAGGGACCCAGCTACTTGAACCAACACCTCTGTCTCCGAGTCTGCATTAGCAGGAAGCTGGACTCAAGAGTGGAGCCAGGTATGAAACCCAGCACTCTGATGTGGGATGCAGCCACCTGAACTGCTGGACCAACACTCAGCTCAGAAAAATGTCTTCCAACAGTCACACCATGGAACACACAACACTGCAAGTGCATGAACTGTAGCTACCTAAGACACATAAATCTCAGCAACACAATGCTGAATCCAAACAGCAAACACTACATGAGAACACACAGTATGACACTCATTTTATTTTTTTAAGATTTATTTGAAAGTCAGAGTTACAAAGAGAGAAAGAGAAAAAGAGAGACGGAGAGAAAGGTCTCGCATCTGCTGGTTCACTCCCCAAATGGCTGCAGTGGCCAAAGCTGGGCCAGACCAAAGCCAGGAGCCTGGAACTCCGTCTGGGTTCCAACATGGGTGCCCAAGAACTCGACATATCCTTTGCTGCTTTCACAGGTGCATTAACAGGGAGCTGGATTAGCAGCAGAGCAGCCGGGACTCGAACTGGTGCCCCTATGAATGTTGGCACTGCAGGCAGCAGCTTAATCTCCTGCACTTCAACGCAGGCTCCACCTTTTCTAATTTAAAATACACATGGGGTCAGGGCATTGTGTCATGGTGGGTTAGGCCACCATATCAAAGTGCCTGGTTCAAAACTTCTTATCCAGCTCCCTGCTAATAGGAGGCAGCATAAGATGGCCAAAGTACTTGGGCCTCGGCCACCCATGTGGGAGACCCTGATGGAATTTCTGACTCCTGGATTTGGACTGACCCAGCCTTGACCGTGGCAGCCATTTGAGAAGTGAATCCATGGATGGAAGATTGATTCATCTTTCTCTCTCCCTCTGCCTTTCAAATAAATAAATAATTTGAAAATTAAGTTTAAAAAGTAATTAATTAAAAGATACTATAAGCAATATTTTATCACAGATTTATATGTGATAAAACCACCTAAAAACCCCACAAATATGAAATATGTTACAGAAGCTATCTCTGATGAGGAAATAAGGAAACTGAACAAAGGATAAATACCTAAGTAGAAGAAAGTCAGTGGGGCCGGCGCTGTGGCACAGTGGGTTAACACCCTGGCCTGAAGCCCTGGCAATCCCATGTGGAACCCGGTTCGTATTCCGGCTGCTCCACTTCCCATCCAGCTCTCTGTTATGGCCTGGGAAAGCAGTAGAAGAGGGCCCAAGTTCTTGGGCCCCTGCATCTGTGTGGGAGACCCGGAAGAAGCTCCTGGCTTCAGATCAGCGCAGTTCCAGCCATTGCGGCCGATTGGGGAGTGAACCATCGGGTGGAAGACCTCTTTCTCTCTCTCTTTCTCTCTCTCTCTCTCTCTGCCTGTCTTCTCTCTGTGTAACTCTGACTTTCAAATAAATAAATACAAATCTTTCAAAAAATAAAAGAAGAAAGTGGTTTAACAGTAAGTTAACAGAAAAGCAAACCTCAACATTGCTGGGTGCACACTTGGAGCGGAGGCTCACGGCCTCTCTGCAGGCCTGCACCGGGAGCGCAGTGCCGCGGTTTGGCCCAGGCCCCGCCGTGGATGCAGCTTCTTGATACTGCACACCCTGGGAAGCAGCCGCTGACAGCTCAAGCACTTGTGCTTCTCCAGGCATGTGGGGGGCCCGGACTGGCTTCTGGGCTCCTGGCTTCAGCCTTGCCCAGCCCCAGCTAATGTGGGCATTTACGGAGTGAGCCAGCAGATGGAATATATCTCTCTCCCTCTGCCTTTCAAATAAATAAATTTTTCATGACTATAGAATCTCAAATATAAGTTTTATGTGTCACTTACTGACAAGGAGTTACAAACTTGTATATAAGTAGACTTAATAACTTAGAAATTTCAATGAATCAGTAAAATAACTCTTTTAAAAAATCAATTTAAGTATGACTCTTACAACTTATAATACCAAATTTCCTGGGTTATTTTTTTCAAAAAGGAATGAAGTAAAAGGGTTTTACCATACCTGGTTTCCATGAAGGTCCAAAACATCTAAGTTTTTTAGATTCTCTAGATTAGAGATTTTCTTGATTCTGAAAGCCAGAATAAGTAGAATTAGTTGAACAGAGATACAAATCGATCACATCTGTTGATAAATCAAAACACAAGTGTAAAAGTGTAACTACTTTTAATACTTTATTCTATGTGCAGTGCATATATACATATACATTAGCTATAATACGCATCAAATAATGCATTTCTCTTGATTTAATCACAATTTTTAGGAAGCAGTGTCACTAGGGAGAAAGACAGCTTCGATGTCACATCTTCAGAGAAGAGCAAGTCTACATCCAAGCCCTTCAGGACAAAACACATAGCTTTCCCCTCCCCTGAGGATACAACTCAACACCTTACTTCTGCCAAAAGAGCACTCAGCCTGGCCCTGACTCCACCGCCTGTGCTCCTACCGCCGGCTCTCAGGGCCTTCTTGCCACGTCTCCAAACCAGTTCATGTCTGCCCCAGTGTGCTTCCCCTGACATTTCACACGGCTCACACCTTCACACTATTCTCAGCCGGCTCAAGCGCTGCCCCCAGATGTCCCTGTCTAGAACAGCTCTCCCTTCCTGCCTCCACGACACTCCCCTTCCCGTGCTCGGACTTCACAGCGTTTATCATGCCTCCAAGTATGGATGCATGTGTCCACTGCTTTTACCATCTCTCTTGCCAAGAGGCGGACACGGACACGTTCTCTCTCTCGTCCTCAGCACCGACAGAGCACCAGGTAGACACCTAGTAGTTGGTTAATGAATGACAGAACACACAGTGCTTTTATGTCAGGATTATGTATCACTCAAATGAACTGCACGCCACCTAAGTGCTTTGTGTTAGGCCAGTTAGTTTATAGAACACTAGTTTTTATTTGTAAGTTCTGATTTGCCATTTTGTGAAAAGCTAGACCTCTGTGACAAACTCTACTAACACAGAATTATACCTCTGCAATGCTCCCCTTTGTGGCCCCTCATGGCTGGGCCTGCCCATCGTCGCCCTCATTCCTGTCCCCCGTGGCTGTCCAACTGCATCCACGTAACAAGGACAACCACTCTGACTTTCCACTGTCTGCTCCTACAGATCCTACTTAATTGCACGGCCATTAGTCAGTAGAGAGAAGGGGACAATCGCAAAAGGGACAAAAATATTGTGAATTTACAGGGCTGGCATTGTGCTTTAGCAGGTAAAACTGCCGTCTGCGATGTCGGCATCCCATGTGGGTGCCAGCACATGACCCAGCTGCTCCACATCCGATCCAGCTCCCTGCTAATATGCCTGGTAGGCAGCAGAAGATGGCCCAAGTGCTTGGGCCTCTGCATCCACGTGGGAGACCCAGTGGGGCTCCTGGCTCCTGGCTTCAACCTGGCTCAGCCCTGGCCACTGCAGCCACTTGGGGAGTGAACCAGAGAATGAAGGACATTTTTCTCCTTCTTTTTTTTTCTCTCTCATGCTTTCAAATAAATATATCTTTTTTAAAAAATGAAGAGTTTTACATAGATCTCCATCTATCACTACTTGTCACTGTTAACTGCCTCAAAGAACCAGGTCCTCCCTAAGTCTTTCCAGAACATGGATTAGCTCCTGAGAGGTCACAGTGTGATCACGGAATTCCTCCACCGGACCTCAGGCATCTGACAACACTGGCAAGTGAGGGGCTATAGCACCACTAACCAATCCAGCCCAATTTAATTTATGAAAATATCCAGCTGAGCCCACTAGCCCATCACTGCGCACTGCAGTTCTTCTCCTCCCCCTTTTCACAGACACACCAGCTGCCCCGAACACAGCCTCCTCAGCAGTCCTCTGCAAGCGTCACACTGGCAGGTCTCTACCCTCTGAACACCCCTACCTCACTCCATCCAGACCAAGACATCTGTCTACGCTCGCTGGAGTCCTTCACCAGCCTCCATCCAGAGCCAGGCACGCGCCGTGTCCTGCCCCCACCGAATCCCTCCAACTGCTAGGCTAATAGCTAAACCAGAGGGGAGAACAGACAAAACTGTCAACAAAATTATTCTTCTGTCTACTCTTCTTTTGAAACACCTCAAACAGTTGGAGAAAATGAGTCTCCTAATGAGAAGGCTCAGGACACAGTCATGCTTTCTTTTTTTATTTTTTTTAAGATTTATGTATTTATTTGAAAGGCAGAGTTACAGAGAGGCAGAAGCAGAGGCAGAGAGAGAGAGAGAGAAAGAGAGAGAGAGAGAAGTCTTCCATCCACTGGTTCACTCCCCAGATGATCACAAAGGCAGGAGCTGGGCTGATCCGAAGCCAGGAGCCAGGAGCTTCTTCCGGGTCTCCCACGTGGGTGCAGAGGCCCAAGGACTTGGGCCATCTTCTACTGCTTTCCCAGGCCATAGCAGAGAGCTGGATTGAAGTGGAGCAGCTGAGACTTGAACCGGAGCCCATATGGGATGGCGGCGCTGCAGACCGGGGTTTTAACCCACTGCACCCAGCGCTGGCCCACAGCCATGCTTTCTAGTAGCTACCTGACCTCACAGCTAGTTGAGAAGCCTTTGATGCAGTTATTTTATACTCCCGGATCCCATTCCTCAGGATAGCGGCTCCCAAACCTGCCTGTGCAGCAGACTCACCTGGAGAGCTTGCTGAAACACTGCCAGCCTCTCTCACCCTCCTCTGAACGGGCCTGGCCATCCCCTGCCTCCTATGTTACTGAGTTAATTCAAACCTTGGTCTGTGACTTCTATCCATTGGTCTTAGAAACATACTATTTTAACATTTTGAAACGTCACAGAAACTTCCAGGCGCCATAAACACATCTTCCCACAGAACTCCAGCAATCGGTGTGACAAGCATGCCCTGAGCTTGGACTTACAGTGATGTTATCACTCTTGCTTCTGATTGCCCAAACAGGAAGACAGTAAGCAGCGTGCTCGGCACCTGAGATGAACAGACTCAACTCCAAAGAATTCAGAGGCACAGGAAGGCAGCAGCTGCCCCAGGAGGCCACTGGCCAGATGAGGCATGGGGTGAGGAATCTGAGAACCCTAACCAGGTGCCAGGTGGCTGAAGATTTTTACAGAAGCACCAGTATGACCTGGAAGGCTCTTCAAGTCCTCCCACTGAACAGAAACTGAAGCAGGCAAGGAACAGGCTCACTCGGCACCTTCTGACCCCGAGGGGTGTATCACAGCCTCTCTGCAGGACCCCACCACAGGACTCTGGGCTTTTCAGGTGTCAGAGACAAAACCTCAAGTGGAATGTCAAGGAGTCAAAAGAAAGGAACAGAGAATCTCAGCGTCTGGCAAAGCTTTGCATCTACACTACTGAGTGACACAAGAAAATGCAGAGAACTTCTATTTACTAGTCTGCGGTCCTAAGCACTCCAGAAAGTCTGGGAGGATGATCAGGGGGTCGTGAAGGCAGAAAAATTAAAGGGCAAGAATTTCCACAGCAAGGTGGTGTTGGGGTTCTTTGGGGGCAACACAAACCAGACAGAGAATCTGAGTAGGGATTTTCTGGCTTTGGAGCAGAACTCTTTGTTGGGACTGCCTGAACACAGACACATGTGGTTGCCCTGGATTCCACACATGATTCCACTGCCTCGAGCGAAGAGATGGCTCAGGACTCTGCAATGTAAGAGGAAGATGTCCTTCTGGACTTGGCCAGCAGGGGGCAACAGGTGGTGAAGATATTTTATAAATATTTGAGGATTGTGCAATTTGGGAAATGTGGAAAGTTATCTTCTGACTCATTTTCCTTTTAAGAATGCAAACAGTGCTAGAACTGTGAAAATCTGCTTTCTTCATGTGAAATGTAAAATACGACCAAAATCAAACAATCACAAAAGATGGAGGAGTGGAAGTAGGAAGAAGAGATGACATTGGACTTTTCTGACTTTACCCAGATCAGGACAAAGTAGAGGGGCATTAGGTCCCTTGGAAATGGAATAACAAAGAAATGATAAATAAAATCAGAGAGTCAGATAAACTGCTGTTTTCATGGAATAGAATACTTAAAAAATATTCTTGAGAAGCCAGAAAAACTGAAAAGTAGAAGCAGAACAAAAAAAAAATAGATGGAAAGATAAACAGCAGGAACTAGGATCAGTTCCTAGATACTATGTTTACAAAAACCAGAGATGATGCAAAATTATCACTACAAGACATGAAACTCAAGGCCTGAAAGAAGGGCGGAGGGGCAGTGGCGCTACAGCATAACCAACAACTCTGAGGACTGGAAACTAGGAAAGTCTCCTCTGGAGAAGCAACAGGAGGCATCCAGAAGGCAACGCCATAAACGTAGGAAAAGCTAATTTCCCTCCTCCTCTACCCCCTGAATGGCTCTGTGACGACTCCTCCTGTGTATAGCAAACACTGCGGAGGTCACTTTGCCTCTCATTTCTTCATCTGTGAAACAAGAGCTGACTGCTGACGTCACTTTAGGCTGGAACACTCCAAGATTCTGTAACACCTAGACTTCCTCACTCTACTTGGCGCTTCCCTCAGCACTTGAGCTAACTGCAGATGAGAAGCAACACCGCTGGAAACCTTCAGAGGAACCACAGACAAGAGCCCACAACACTGGGACCACTGGTGTCACCTGCCATACCAGCATCCCCATGGGCGTGAGTTCAAGTCCTGGCTGTTCCACTTCTGATCCAGCTCCCTACTCATGTACCTGGGAAAGCAACAGAAGATGCCCAAGTACCTGAGCCCTTGTCATCCACCTGGGAGACCTGGATGGAGTTCCAGGCTCCTGACTTCAACTTAGCCCAGAACTGGCCACCGTGGCCATTTGGGGAGTGAACCAGCAGATGGAAGATCTCCCCACCACTACCATCACCACTGTAACTCTGCCTTTCAAATAAATAAATAAACCTTAAAAAACAAATAGAGCCCAGAACCCTAGGACACCACCTTGGAAAATCATCTGAGGGCAATGGAAACAGGAGCCCAGAACACAGCACCTTGGTGTACTGCACCATCCAAGCTGAGGAGGACGGGAAAAATCGCAGGAGCAGGAAGATGGCCCTCTGACCACCTCCCACCTTTCCCCTCTCAGGCCACAAAAAGAACTCTCTGCCCTGAAAGTAGATTCCAGGACCCTCATTTAGAAGAGGTCCAGCCTAACACCAAGAGGAAAGGCATGCAGGCACACAGAGACACCAAGAAGGCACAGGACAATAGCTGCCCACCATCAGATCTTACTCCCTCTTGTCCAATCGCCTCTGCACCGCCACCCACTCATCATCAAGCCGAGGCTTACAAATACCATTTCCGCCATCTCTCTGGTCTCCACCGCTTAGAGCTTCTGCATGGTGTAAAATTTAAAGTAAGTACATTTGTTCTGCTTTTCTCTCTCATCAGTGTCAGCTGTGAATCTCAAGATGGGTGGAGAAAAGACGTTCCCTTTTTTTCCCCATCAGAGGTGATCGATGCAAGCCCCACCTCGAGGGCTATGAGGCAGAAGGGAGAGGGGAACCCAGCCAGGAGCAATGCTGTATGTCAGCACCGACGACTGATCATCTAGAACTCACCCTGGATACTGCTTCACAGTCCTCCGTGCTCATCGCAGAAGCTACAGGACAAAAACGTGTGACTAAATACCAAGAAAACAAGTCACACTGGAAGCAGATGTAAGCAATGGGGAGTTCCCACAGGGTGTACCGTGACACACACCGGAACACTACTGAGGAGGGTGTCACAGGCACACAGGAGAATCCCAGCGAGGCACACAGCCTGCAGTGAATGCACACGCTTAAAACCTGTCCAAGGAAGCACAGAGGCCAAAGGCTGCTGTTTGCTTCCCTTTAAGGTAGGCACTGGACAATGACGGCTACAAAATACACTCCACACACGTGATCTGGTTTGAAAAACGGTCAGCCTGAATCTCATGAAACAAAGTAGAACTGAATCCTTTCTATTGAAACCACCATCTTCTAGTAATTTCCCAAGACGAGGAACACAAAGGGAGAAGGGAGGGACCCGGTCGGGGTTTGCTGGGCCTTTTAGAAACATGGAGTTGTTCCTTTGGCCACATATGTGCACGTCTACAAGAAAGGGGACACTATAGACATCAAGGGAATGGTGCCATTCAAAAAGGAGTGCCCCGTAAACGTGACCTTGGCAGAACTGCAGAGTCCAGAATACCACCCAGCGTGCTGATGGCACCGTTGTAAACAAACCAGTTAACGGCAAGATTCTTGCCAAGAGAATTAATGTGCACACTGAGCATATTAAATACTCTAAGAGCCAAGATAGCTTCCTGAAAAATGACCAGAAAATCAAGGAAGCCAGAGAGAAAACTCCCTGTGTTCAACTGAAGCCCTGTCTGCTCCACCCAGTGAGGCCCACATTGTCAGAACCCAGAGAAAACAGCAGGAACAGCTGGCACCGTTCCCTAAGAAATCAGGGCGTAGTGAATGTAAAAGTAAATCAATACAGAACCAACCTCTGGACTATACAACCAATCTCTGGACTACACAAATGCTTCTTAATTGAGTCAGAAGTGTGATGTCCTGTCCTCCAAATAAATCTTTAAGTTTTTAAAAAAGTACAACTGAGGCTTGATGCATTCAAATCATCTTTCAAAAATGCTAGTCCATGGGGCCCGTGCTGTGGTACAGGGGGTTAATCCTCCACCTGAGACGCCGGCATCCCATGTGTGTGCCAGCTCTAGTTCCAGCTGCTCCCCTTCCGATCCAGCTCTCTGCTCCAGCCTGGGAAAGTAGTAGAAGATGGCCTAAGTCCTTGGGCCCCTGCACCCATGTGGGAGAGCAGGAAGAAGCTCCTGGTTCCTGACTCTGGATCGGCCCAGTTCCAGCCGATGCAGCCATTTGAGGAGTGAGCCAGCAGATGGAAGACCTTTCTCTCTGTCTCTCCCTCTCACTGTCTGTAACTCTACCTCTCAAATAAATAAAAAAAAATCTTTAAAAAAAAAATGCTAGTCAATTAGTTTCTTAGGTGCTACTGAGTTCTAGGTTGCCATGAAAACATCCCGGGGTTCAACATTATTCCACGCGTGGCATCAGGCTGCAGACAATCCTGCCCTACACAGAATACCTGTTTTTCCCCAACAGAAGGACACGGAGGGATCGCAGAGTAGAAAGTCCACTAATTTCTTCAATCTGGTTATCATATAAATCCAAGAAGATCAGCCTCTGCAGATTAGAAAGATTCTGGATCCGAGTTATAAAATTATGTTGAAAGTTCAACAGACGAAGGTGTTCTTCCCCATTGATGATAGGACACACAGTCAACTTTTGCCTAGAAGAAATTTCTAGAGGTTAGTAAGGTTGAGTCAGCAGCCCACCTCCTCTTATGAATACTGTTATTACTATCTCTCTGTGCCCATGCTGGGGGCAGAAAATGCTACACTGGACCACTTTTAGCCCCTGTGAACTGAATGACTTGTATTTCACCGCAAGTCATTCGCAAAAAAAAAAAAAAAAAAAAAAGCCGAGACTTATTAAAATTAGATATCATTGTGTTTTTAAAAATTCAAAATCAGTTATTTTATATAAAACTGACTTTAATATCAGAAAACTTTCCATGCAACTGCCCTCTGTGACAGGTGTGGATGGCTGGATCACACCACACAACCAGAGAAATGCTCTTGGCTTCAATCCATCAAAGTAAAGGCTATCCTGCAACACAGCAGAGCAAAGCCATGTGGAACCACAGACCCTCGGGCTGGGGGTGTCTTTGAAAAAGCAACACACTCAGCTATCTCTTGCGTGCTTTGAGGGGTACACTAATCCTGACATGCATTAATGGCTGTGTGGCCCTCACTGAGCGTTTCTCCAGGTTTACACGTTCCACACTAGCTTTCAACTCTGCAAGACATCTACAGTGCTGCAGGGCACTGAAACACTTAGAGCGCGAAAGATTGGATGAAACCTTAGCAATATGTGCCTTTCGCTATCCTTAAAGCAGTAAGCCTCTGTTATGCAAAAAGCTACATGTGTTGCATACGAAGCAAAAAAGTGCAGAGCCCTTTGAGAATTCTACTAGTGTATATATGGCCAGACAGGACATATTCAGCAATTCTACTCTGAGAAGTTCAAAGGGATCATCAGGAGAAATACAGCCCCATCTAATGTGAACGATCAGGCTGATGAGGAACATTTTCTTTCAGTAAAAATCATACTAATGTAATGTTGTAAAAAAAAATAAATAAACCAGGGGCTGGCATTGTGCACAGCGGGTTAAGTAACCCCTGAGGTATCGGGGCATCAGTTAGAGTGCCAGCTACTCAGCTGCTGATCCAGCTTCCCGCTAATGTGCCTGGGAGAGAGGCAAGTGCTTGGGTTCCTGCCTCCATGGGGAAGAGCACAGTGGAGTTCCTGGCTCCTGGGGTTAGCCTGGTCCAGACATGGCTGTTGGGGTGATTTGGGGAGTGACCCAGAAGACAGAAAATATCTCTGTCTTTCTCTGTCCTTCCCCCACCTCTGTCACTCTGCCTTTCAAATAAATAAATAAATCTTTTTAAAAAAATAAGTAAATAGGGGCTGGAGTTATGGCATAGCAGGTAAAGGTGCCATTTGCAATACTGGCATCCTATACGGGTGTCAGCTGGTGTTCCAGCTGCTCCACTTCCAACCCAGCTCCCTGCTAATGTACCTGAGAAAAGCAGAAGTCGGCCCAAGTACTTGGGCCCCCACCACCCATGTGGGAAACCCTGATGAAGTTACTGGCTCTTGATTTTGCCCTGGCCCAGCCCAGCCATTGTGGCCATCTGGGGAGTGAGCTAGTAGATAGAAGATCGTTCTCTCTCTCTCTCTCTCTGTCTTTCCCTCTCACTCTATAACTCTTTCAAATAAATACATAAAATCTTTTAAAAATAAATATTTTAAAAATAAACCAAAGTGTTACAAATACAAAACTATGGAAGTGATCAGAATCCTTCCTGTAACAAAAAAAAAATTAGCAGAAAAGTTAACTGAATGTTAATAGTCGACAAATGTAACATTTAAAAATATAGACACTGGTTTAAAACAGAAGAAAAGTAAAAAATATCAGGCAACAGTTTAAATATTTTTATATGTGGTTAATACTTACAATTTACTGCCTACATTCAATTACATGACCAGAGTTGGTACTTGTGGTTTATAAAGTGTAAAATGATCTAATTTCCCACGCTTCACTCTTCTCTGTATCTCACACTTCCTGATGTGCCCCAACATTGACGTCATCCAGTTCTTAAGTCGGCCACCACTAAGAAAGGAAAACTCCAGGCAATCCCTGGCAGAGCTGCTAGAGCTGGGAAGTCCACTTTCCTGGACTGCAAACCAGCGGCTAAGTCCCAGCTCCAAGGTCCGCCTGTGCACCCCTTAACTCCACAAATCCCTGTCACTCCATGAAAAGCAGAGACACACACGCGGTAAGCAGCGCCCAGCACACTCGAGGCCGCGCCTCCTCCTGCTGCTGACACATTTGATGTAGCGCACTTCTTGCTGCTGACAGCCTCCTCCCTGCTTCTCCAGGCCTGTCTGTCTGAGCTCCCAACAGGGCCTCAGCTTCCCTCTTCCAAGTGCCAGCACTTCTTCTCGGGGCTGCACTCCACTCCTGAGCCAGGAGGCTCCTGGCGATGAAGCTGCCCAGCACGGCAGATCTCTGGAAGCCCCTGCTGGTATCCACTGGCTCTCACAGAAGGACCCCTGAGAGTCAGTCCCATGCTGCTAACCCAACTTTACTGTACATGCTGGTTGTGGTCAAACCAAGCTTTTGGCATTTTGGTGACTCTCCCCCGTCCTGATTTTCAAAACACACAAGTCTCCACCTGTTCATAATGTGTTTCTCAAGCCCAGAGGCCCATGATGCCCGAGACCCGTCTTCATAACCCCCCGAGTCACCTCCTCCAGCTGCAACAGAAGTGCCGAGTACATTATGTCAGTCTGTACAAACACTGGCCCCTGCTAACATCAAGGAACATGCAACAGAGGGCTGGACTTTTACAGATCCTAAGAAAAATGATCACAAACCTCCTCAAGACATCAAAATGATATTAATAAAGGTATATTAGACAGCATCAGAATCTCACAGGCCTCCATCCTGCAAAGATACCAGGAAAGCTACTGGCCTTTGCTGTTACTTTGCCTGCAAAGTGACATGTTAGAGGCTCCAGAGAGCTGTCTCCCAGCTGCAAACACAGATGGGCCCCTGCCCCTCGTGATCAGATGTGCATGCGAGGCTAAAGGGAAATGCAGCAGATATGTGTTCTCTGCGGACTACACGGGGGATTGGGATCCTTCACCCACCATTCTGTTATGGATACCTTCTTAGATTCAATGAAGAAACTCAAATTTTTTTTTATTAAGAGCTTATTTTGTACCAGGCTTTGTGCTAGATGCCAAGGATACAGAACGGAACCAAAATTCCTGTGCGTGTGCAGATCACATCCTAACAGGAGGAGACAAACGAGAAACAGCAGGTGAATATTCACAGGTTAGAGGTGCTGAGTGCTCAGGAGGGCCGGGGACGGCCAGGCAGGAAGGGCTGCGGTCTTGTTTCTCCAGGGCAGCTGGAGCAAGCCATCCCTGGGATGAGAACGGAGTGAAGACCTGTAGGCGGTGAGGCAGTGTGGAGGAGCAGCCTCCTGGGAGGGGAGCAGCGGGGAGGCAGGCATGGCTGGAGCACAGGGAGCCCGGGAGGCATGAGGCCAGCGGAGCCAGCTGGGCAGGCCCAGGACGCCGTGTGAGGACTGCAAGCACACAGCTTGCTCTATCCTATGCCCATGGGAGGATAAACAAACAAAACTGGTTAAGAACTGATTCTGGGCCGGCACCGTGGCTCACTCGGCTAATCCTCTGCCTGTGGTGCTGGTACCCAGGGGTTCTAGTCCTGGTTGGGGCGCCAGGTACTAGTCCCGGTTGCTCCTCTTCCAGGCCAGCTCCCTGCTGTGGCCTGGGAGTGCAGTGGAGGATGACCCAAGTGCTTGGGCCCTGCACCCCATGGGAGACCAGGATAAGCACCTGGCTCCTGGCTTCGGATCAGCATAGTTCCGGCTGTAGTGGCCATTTGGGGGGTGAACCACCAGAAGGAAGACCTTTCTCTCTGTCTGTCTCTCTCTCTAACTCTGTCTGGCAAAAATAAAATAAAAATAAAATAAACAAAAAACACACCTGATTCTGTGTAGGTACGAGAACCAGACGGCGGGGACACAGGAGGCAGGGAGGAGACTTTCCTGCCTTCCCACCCTTGTATCACTTCTGTGTATTACCTAGTCAGCAACTGAGAAGAACCATCCTCACCTTTCTAGGGTCAGCCTATCTGAATAAAGAACCTTCTCTTCAGAAGGACGGTGGAGAACAGGAAACGACGGCATGGAGGAGCTCACCAGGTTAATGTGGTCACCTGCGGAAAATGACAGGCAAGTTACCCCAGTCGGAAAAACCCTTAACATGCTGACATTAAAGCCACCTGCTTGGAAAACTGTGGCACCTACAAACATCTCCTCTAGGAGTACAGTTTCCAAAGCCCTCCACATCTGAAACTAATTCCTCAACACTGCTTTGCTGCTTTCCTCCTCCAACCTGAACTAGGTGTTCTGAGTACACCAAGTCATCTTGCCCTCGCTTAGACTGGCTGAGAGTGGAAGGTTATGCTGGTTCTGTCTCGATTCCTTTAGAACGGGAACTCCTAACACTAAATGCTCACTGTCCTGTCGCTGAGATAGCCCCTCATTACCAGACACATTGGGGCCAGCGCTATGACAGCCCTGCCGGATCCTGGCCTTGGAAGGTGTCTGCGTGGAAGAATCTCCGAATGCTGACAAGGAGCTCGTAGCAGTTTTCACGTCCAGCCCACACAGTTCTGTCACGTTTGTTGTGGATGAGATGTATGATGATTTGCTACGAGCCGAAGGGCTTATTATTCTTCCATCTCCTTCAAAATATCAAAAAGTTGATCACAAGGCTACACAATACATGATTTTGCTACAGGAAATATGTGAAAAGCAGATGTTTAGCTACTAATGGTAAACAACATTGCAAAGACAACAAAGTGGTTACCTGGTAAACTTTTAACTAGGGTCCACAGGGGATACGGCACCCCCATGAGATTCACATGTTGTTGATTAGATGGTGTACCAGGCAAACATATATGAAATTAACTTAACAAACAAAGTGGAACAATGTGTCAAAACACAGGTTAAAAAAGCATACCTATTGGTATGTTTGTATATAAGTGTATCTGGTTACTTAACACTTAATGAAAATGGTTACAGATGGGTTTAGGGGAGGTGGATATTAGGATAGATTCTAAAGAACTAGAAGAGAGAAGGTGGTCAAGAAGAAATGAATTTCCAGAAATGAGGTAAGATTTGAGTGACAGTTTGAATACCAGTGAGAATCTACCGTATTTCCCCTAGAGAGAGAACATCTGCTTAACGCAGCAGCCGACGCCCAAGTGCTTGATGTGAGCAACTCATAGGAAATAAAACCTGAGCCCACCACAGAAATGTCTGCTTAAACTAATCAGTAGGGTAAAGAGATAAAAACCAAATCGAGGAAGCTAACAACTCTTTGGTAGGCCATCACACAAAATGATGACAACTTGGTTTCACATTCTATATGGAGTGTATTTAAAGCTATAATATAGCAGTGGATTTGCTAGCTTCTTTAGGTCTGCAAGGCATAAACCAAAGTATCCCACATGTAATTTCCTGAACAACATAATCAATTATCACAGCCCACTTTTCTGAGTATCATGAACTATCAAGACAATGAATAACAATACTCCGTATGTAAGAATCATGCTCACCAAAGAATAGTTCTCATAAAATGACCACTTCCCAGCAGGACACTCAAGAAGGCAAGACTTAATAAATAAATTTGGAAATCAAAAGTCAGATGATTAAAACTAAACAAAAACTAATCCAGAGATTAACTAATTTAAGAAAACTATTCAGCTAAGGATGGTAAAGGAAAAACTCCAAACAATAAATACCTTGATTTTTCTTCTTAGCATTAGCATAAGGTTTTTTGAATTATTTTGTTACAAATTCAACCCAATCCTCAACTCAAGAGTCAGACTTAACTTTTATGATGTGGATTACAGAGATAATAATTAAAGAGTAAATATCACTTTAAGTCAGTGATTAAAGGAATTTTATCCTCACATTTTTCAACTCCAAGCATACACAGAACTCATAATCTCTATCAGTACCAATGATCTTACTTTTATCATCAGTCTGATACACACCTTACATTAAATAGCAGGAGACATGAATGATAAGGTAGAAATACCTTAAAATCCACAATGTCCTCTGACTGAGAACCAGAAGCACCTGTGCTTAAAACAGCCACATATATATGTGGGACTATAAACTATATCACTATGTACTTACCAAATAGCTAGCCTTGTCTTCCCAATTAAATGTCTAAACTCCATGAAGGAGAGACCTTATTTAACATTCTTTATATTATTGATAGGATCTAAATTCAGTAGACCATCAGCAGATAACTTGCTTTCCCAGTATACTGGTACTTAATTAAAAATCTACTTTGTGTTACCATAAATTCTTGATTTTTACTATTAAAATGCTAAATGAGGCTGGCGCCGTGGCTCACTAGGCTAATCCTCTGCCTGCAGCGCTGGCATCCCATATGGGCACCGAATTCTAGTCCCGGTTGCTCCTCTTCCAGGCCAGCTCTCTGCTGTGGCCCAGGAGAGCAGTGGAAGAGGGCCCAAGTGCTTGGGTGCCTGCACCCGTGTGGGAGACCAGGAAGTGGCACCTGGCTCCTGGCTTCGGATCAGCATAGTTCCGGCTATAGCGGCCATTTTGGGGGTGAACCAATGGAAGAAAGACCTTTCTCTCTGTCTGTCTCTCTCTCACTGTCTGACTCTATCTGTCAAAATAAAAAAAAAAATGCTGAATGATTTTCTTCATAAGGATTTCATAAGCATTTTCATAAGAAGCATAATACTTGACAGTTGGTAAGAATGTTCACTGGCCGGCGCCGCAGCTCACTAGGCTAATCCTCCGCCTTGCGGCGCCGGCACACGGGGTTCTAGTCCCAGTCGGGGTGCCGGATTCTATCCCGGTTGCCCCTCTTCCAGCCCAGCTCTCTGCTGTGGCCAGGGAGTGCAGTGGAGGATGGCCCAAGTGCTTGGGCCCTGCACCCACGTGGGAGACCAGGAGAAGCACCTGGCTCCCAGTTTCGGATCAGCGTGGTGCGCCGGCCGCAGCAGCCATTGGAGGGTGAACCAATGGAAAAGGAAGACCTTTCTCTCTGTCTCTCTCTCTCACTGTCCACTCTGCCTGTCAAAAATAAAAAAAATAATGTTCACTGTACTACACCCTAGATACAAGAACGGATGATTGGATGGATAGAAGGATGGATGGAGAGCTACCCAGCTATGTAGCTAGTTATCTGGCTGGCTGACTTGTTAGTTAGATCCATGGGTGGATAGACAGACAGATAGGTGTGTGGGTGGATGTATGAATGGATGAGTAGATAGACACATGGGTGGATAGATGAATATATGGGAAGATGGACACACAGGCATTGTATATATGAGCATACTTCAAAAAGCTCAGAGAGGAGCCGGTGTTGTGGTGTAGCTGGTTAAGCCTCCACCTGTGACACCAGCATCCCATGTGGGTGTTGGTTCGAGCCCCAGCAACCCCACTTCCAATCCAGTTCCCTACTAATGCACCTGGGAAGGCAGCAGAAGATGGCCCAAGTGCTTGGGCCCCTGCATCTAAGTGGAAGACCCAGAAGAAGATTTGGACTCCTGGCTTTGGCCTGGCACAGCCCTGACATTGCAGCCATTTGGGGAGTGAACCAGCTGATGGAAGATTTCTCTTTCTCTCCCTCCCTCTGTCTTACAAATAAATAAAAAATAAATCTTAAAGTTCACAGAAAATAGATTTAAAAGATAAGCTTGTTTTGGTGCAAAGGAATATGAAATTCATGCATATGAGGGCTCTTCAAAAAAAGATTATGGAAAATCTGTATTATGTAAAACTAAGCATGGATTTCAAGTTTGCTTGCAGCAAAATGAACATCATTTAATTCCATTTTTCTACAATCTCTTTGAAGCACCCTGCTCTGTGTCTACCTATCTCATCTTTGGGATTGTTTTGGTTACCAAAATTCTGATTCTAGATCTTCCATGGATATATCATGATTTTAAATGCCAAGCATGACGAGTATCTACACACATTTCTAAGGTTTTTAATTAAGGCATTTAATCAATCAATTTCAGGTTAACTGCAACTTCATTGTACTGTACTCCCTGGAATATCTGGCCCATTAAAAAGCCTCAAGAATAGAGGGGTGAGCTCTTCACACTAGCTCAGAAACCCTACAAGGAACCACACATCAGGCTTTAGACAAACTAGCTGAAACAATGCATCCCAAAGTTGAAGGCCTGTAATACGAAGTGTCTGTGACTGTAGGCCATGGTCAATGGAGAGACTGCTTCTTTTCTACGCCCGACTAGTCTTCGCCTTGTGTCCTTATGTCCTTACTTACTCTTAAACTCACTCATGAGCCAGTTCTCCTAGCTTTAATAAATATCTGGAAAACTCCTTCCCCATTTTCTACGCATAGCCCACCCTCATGCTAAAATAACCAACTTTTTTTTTCTGTATTAGAAATGATTTACTATGTAATGTTCATAAGGCCAATTCTAATACAAATTAATTCCAAACCAATTTGATAACCAATGAAATATTTCACTTTTAATTCACGTTTATTTGTATCTAGTGATCAATAATATTCAAGAATTATTATTACTCAAAGAAGATGAACCATATTTGATCTCTACTCACTGACAATACCTTGCCTACTTGAGTAGTTTCTTTCAAGGTCATGTTGTAAGAGTCTACCAGGGAACGATGGTGTTTCTCTATTTAGCTTGAATTCAACCTGAAAAACATCATTTTAAAAAAATTTTGGAAAAAAAACCTAGTGGCGAGTAATGAAGATAATTATAAACCAGCACACAATAACGGATACATCCTACAACATGAACGAGCCTTGAAAACACCATGCTAAATGAAAGAAGCCCAACGCAAAAGGCTGCATACTGCGCAACTCCATCTATATGGAACACTCAGAGAGAAATCCAGAGAGACAGAAAAAGCAAACTAAGAAGGAAAAGAAAGAAAAAGTGCATTTGTGGCTTTGGGGGTTTGCCCACCTAATGGGTATTTTCCTTTGGATGAAAAAGTTCTGGCAAGAGATAGAGGTCACGACCACACCACACTTGAATGTATTGAATGCCCTGAACTGCATGCTGTAAGTGGTTTAATGGCAGACCTTATGTTATGTCTACTTTGTGACACGCAAAATCAAGTTCGTGAGGTCACTGGAAAGGAAGCTCCAGTCTGAGGAACTTCCGATCGTCTGCACCCTTTCCACAAATACAATGATTACAAGAATGATTTCTCCAAAATGCACACAATACAAACTAATTGCTGCTGAAAAAAATGCTACTTTCTTCATTAGAATTCTTTTATAACATAATAAAATTGTATATTTAAACGTCCCAAGAAGGGCTTTCACTAAATTCATTTTAAGTAATTATTTGGTAAGAAGATTGAGGAAAAACAATAAGAAAACAACCTCTTACAATTAGAAAACACTCTAAATATGTATTTTTAAAAGTTTATTTTATTTATTTGAAAGACAGAATTACAGAGAGAGGTAGAGACAGAGAGAGAGGTCCTCCATCCACTGGTTCACTCCCCAGTTGGTTGCAACAGCCGGAGCTGCACCAATCTGAAGCCAGGAGCCAGTAGCCTCCCATGCGGGTGCAGAGGCCCAAGGACTTGGGCCATCTTCCACCGCCCTCCCAGGCCACAGCAGAGAACTGGATCAGAAGAGGAGCAGCTGGGATTAGAACCCATGCCCATATGGGATGGCAGCACCTCAGGCCAGGGCTTCAGCCAGCTGCACCACAGCGCCGGTCCCCTAAATATGTATCTTAAAAGAATTATGATGATCCCCCTTCACCCGTATTAAAAGCATTATGCTGCATTTGCATTGCATCCTTATGAGTTATATAAGCTAAAGATATTTTCTGAGAACACATGCCAACACAAGAGAAAAAGAACGGTTTGGAAAGAATCTGGATAAGGCACATAGTTCCTAGAAATATTAAAATGTTCAATAGGATTTGTCCAGTGAAATCAATTAAGAAAGTGTTGGAGGAAATGCATTACATTCAACTATACGGAAGCATATTTCAGTTGAGCCAGCCACCCATGTTCTGCTGGGACACTCAAGGTCCTGTGCTCCCGTGCTCACCATTTTCTTGCACAAGTAACGCAGCTTCCGTCTGACGGCACCGTCCTATCCATCCCCTCTTGCTGTGGCCTGTAAACTGCCTTTCACTTTAGAGTTCCTCCAGCAGCACCTACTGGACAACTTCTCAGGAAGCAACTGCAGTGAGCGGCTGGAGCTGTCCAGCTTGCTCAGGTTTGAGGACTGAGGTGAGACAGCAAGGCAAGGAAAACATGTGCACCTCAAAAATCAAATCAAAATCCAGAAATTCTAGAACTTCCAGGGATACTGTAGGCAAATGACCCGGGGAAAGAAGCAGCTTGTGTTTAAATCTGGACTTCTGCATAACAACAAGCCCGGCATACTGCCTCGGCTAAGCGATTTTTTTCTTTCCTCCTTTTAAAAGGAACGTGTGGAGGGCCGGCACCGTGGCTCGCTTGGTTAATCCTCCACCTGCGGCGCTGGCATCCCATATGGGCACCGAATTCTAGTCCCGGTTGCTCCTCTTCCAGTCCAGCTCTCTGCTGTGGCCCGGGAGGGCAGTGGAGGATGGCCCAGGTGCTTGGGTCCCTGCACCCACATGGGAGACTGGGAGGAGGTGCCTGGCTCCTGGCTTCGGATCGGTGTAGCTCCAGCCATGGTGGCCATTTGGGAGGTGAACCAACAGAAGGAGGACCTTTCTCTCTGTCTCTCTCACTGTCTAACTCTATCTGTCAAATAAAATAAATTTAAAAAAAAAGGAATGTGCAGAGATGCCCTCTCCGATGGGCACTTTACCCACTGCATGTTGCTAGGGGACACTCCATCAGTATACTCACTACCAAGAAAGAAAAAGGCTTCCTCTTTAAACCATGACACGTCATCAATTTTAGGAAGGGTCCTCATCTCAGAAATGCTTCACACCAATAGATTCTAGAGGTAAAAGTAATGGTATTCTACAGACGTCTTCCTGAGAATTAAGATGATTTTACAAACAAAAAAAGAAAGAAAGAAATGCTTTACCCACTATGGAAGTCAGTCTGGAGATTCCTCAGAAACCTGAATATAACCCTACCATTCGACCCAGCCATCCCACTCCTTGGAATTTACCCAAAGGAGTTTAAATTGATAAACAAAAAAGCGGTCTGCACCCTAATGTTTATTGCAGCTCAATTCACAATAGCCAAGACCTGGAACCAACCTAAATGCCCATCAATGGTAGACTGGATAAAGAAATTATGGGATATATACTCATTAGAATACTATACCACAGTAAAAAAAAAAAAATTAAATCCGGTCATTTGCAACAAAATGGAGGAATCTGGAACACATCCTGCTGAGTGAAATAAGCCAGTCCCAAAGGGACAAATATCATATGTTCTCCCTGATGGGTGACAACTGACTGAACACCAAAAAGGAAACCTGTTGAAGTGAAATGGACACTATGAGAAACGGTGTCTTGATCAGCCCTGACTGTTAATGAACAACTTAATACGTTATCCCTCTTAGTAGTTTTTTTGTCTGTTCTACTTAATACTATTGGTTTAATTCTGTAATTAATACACAGTTATTCTTAAGTGTTGAAATTTAACTGAAATGTGATCACTGTTAAATATAAGAGTGGGAATAAGAGAGGGAAGAGATGTACAATTTGGGACATGCTCAAGCTGACTTGCCCCAAATGGTAGAGTTAGAAACATACCAGGGGATTCCAATTTAATCCCATCAAGGTGGCATGTACCAATGCCATCTCACTAGTCCAAGTGATCAATTTCTGTTCACAATTGATCATAATGATAGGACTAAGAGTCAAAGGGATCATATAAGCAAGACTAGTGTCTGCTAATACTAACCGATAGAATAAAAAAGGGGAGAACGATCCAACATGGGAAGCGAGATGCACAGCAGACTCATAGAATGGCAGATGTCCTAAATAGCACTCTGGCCTCAGAATCAGCCCTTAAGGCATGCGGATCCGGCTGAAAAGCCCATGAGAGTATTTCAGGCATGGAAAGCCAAGACACTCTGGCAAAAAAAAAAAAAACAACAACAACAACAACAACAACAACCAACCTAAATGAAAGATCTCTGTGAGTGAGATCCCAGTGGTAAGAACAAGTCTTCAAAGAAGGAGGTACCTTTCTCTGAAGGGAGAAGAGAACTTCCACTTTGACTATGACCTTGTCTAAATAAGATAAGAGTCAGAGAACTCAAAAGCCTTCCATAGCCTTGGAAACTTATGACTGGAGCATAGGGAGATTACTGATGCCATAAACAGGAGTGTCAATTTGTAAAGTCAACAACAGGAGTCACTGTGCTCTTACTCCTCATGTAGGATCTGTCCTTAATGTGCTGTACATTGTGATTTAATGCTATAACGAGTACTCAAACAGTATTTTTCACTTTGTGTTTCTATGTGGGTGCAAACTGTTGAAATCTTTACTTAATGTATACTAAACTGATCTTCTGTATATAAAGAAAATTGAAAATTAATCTTGATAAGAATGGAAGGGGAGAGAGAGCAGGAAGGGGGGAGGGTTGCGGGTGGGAGGGAAGTCATTGAGGGGGGAAAACCATTGTAGTCCATAAGCTGTACTTTGGAAATTTATATTCATTAAATAAAAGTTAAAAAAAAAAAAAAAGAAATGCTTCACACATTTAGCATCTTGTAATCAACGAATTAACCTTCACTTTTCAAAGTGGGCTAAGACTGGCTGTGTGTAGGCATAAACACCAGCTTTGCACTGCAGACGGCAGCAAGCATCCAGTTCAGGGCCGGCACCGTGGCACAGCAGGTTAATCCTCTGCCTGCGGCACCGGCATCCTATATGAGCACTGGTTCAAGTCCTGACTGCTCCACTTCTGACCCAGCTCTCTGCTGTGGCCTGGGAAAGCAGTAGAAGAGGGCCCAAGTCCTTGGGCCCCTGCACCTGTGTGGGAGACCCGGAGAAGGCTCCTGGCTCCTGGCTTCAGATCGCTCAGCTCTGGCCATCGTGGCCAACTGAGGAGTGAACCAACAGATGGAAGACCTTTCTCTCTGTTTCTCCCTCTCACTGTCTGTAACTCTACCTCTCAAATAAATAAATTAAATCTTTAAAAAAAATGTCCCGTTCAGAAATCTACTCTTTAGGCATGCTATTTGTGTTCCCTTCAATTCAAATACCAATCAGCAAAACAAAACAAAAAAATCTTACTTTGTGCTTCTCAGGAAGTGATGATGTCTGAATAACCAGATGAAGCCCACAGTTCACCTGAAATGTGAAACGAAACCATAAATATCGTGCTTTTACACATACACACGCCAACCCAAGCGGCAGACACAGACACAGCAGAAAACACCGGGACGGATTACAAGGCTCGAATTGTGTTGGCTGGTGGTAAACGATCACGTTCTGTGCATCTGCGGAAAACCAGAAAACCACATCTAACAAGGAGAACGTTTCACTCTTTATCTTCCAATATGTCGGCGGCAATCCGGCCCCTCGGGCTTCTGACACCTGCCATTTCGGGTCTAAATGAATATATCTCGACGGGATGAGGTGAGGGGGTGGCAGTGACTAGCAATAAATTCTTTTCTGATGAGAGAGAGAGAGAGAGAGAGAGAGAGAGGAGAGAGAGAGGCGGAGGGAGAGAGGGGTGAGGAGGACTCTGGTGGTCCGGAATCCAGATGAGCCCGTGCTTTCACTGCGGAGCGGTTCCACCCTCGGGGACCACCCCGCAGTCCACCACCCCGCAGCCCACACCCCGCCGGCGCCCGGCCCGCGCCCCTCGGCCGGCCACGCCAGCCGTCCGCTCCCCATCACCCGGGACAAAGACGGGCGGCCCCGATGGGGAGACACACAAAGCGCGAGGCCCAACCTACGTTGTTGGCGGTCCGGCCAGACACAGAGCGGTACCTCCCGGGAATCATGGCAGAGACAGCCCGGGGTCTGTCCACCGTCTTCCCGGAGACGCTACTCCGCAGGGATCCAGACACCCGCAGGGGTCGTCTCCCGGGCAACCCGCCCCGGGGTTACCATGGCGACCCGCACTTCCGGCCCGGCCCTCGCCCCCCGCGACGGGCCGGCTCGGGCGTCAGAGCCCTCGGCTGGGGTGATCTGCGGGGCCCCGGGCGTTGGCGCCTCCCGACCTCACAGACACAGCGCGGGGGAGCCGTCAGGAGGTGCGGGCGGGCAGAGGCCGGCCGCATCGGCGCTATGACAACCGCCACTTCCGGTCCGTCCCTCTTTGCGGCCCGCCCCGGCGCAGCGCGCGCGAAATTCGTATCCCCCGGCCGGCGTCCACCTGCCCCGGGACCCGGGCAGGGAGTCCCCCGGCCGGGTCCACCTTGCTTCTTGGGGGAGCCGGGCAGGGAGTCCCCCGGGGGGCGGTCCACCTGCTCCCCGGACTCGGGCAGGGAGTCCCCCCGGCCCGGCGTCCACTGCACCCGGGGACCCGGGCAGGGAGTCCCCCGGCCCGGCGTCCCACCTGCCCCCGGGAGCCGGGCAGGGAGTCCCCCGGCCGGCGTCCACCTGCCCCCGGGAGCCGGGCAGGGAGTCCCCCGGCCGGCGTCCACCTGCCCCCGGGAGCCGGGCAGGGAGTCCCCCGGCCGGCGTCCACCTGCACCCGGGAGCCGGGCAGGGAGTCCCCCGGCCGGCGTCTACCTGCCCCCGGGAGCCGGGCAGGGAGTCCCCCGGCCGGCGTCCACCTGCCCCCGGGAGCCGGGCAGGGAGGAGGGGGAGGGCCTGGAGCCGGCAAGCCGGGGTCTCCGGGCGCGGAGGGCGAGGGGTCGTCGCGTCCGCCAGGCTGACCGCGGCCCTCCGGGGACCTGCGCCTCGCTGGCCGCGCGGGGCAGGGGAGCCGCGGAGCTGGGAGGACGGGCCCACGCCCACGCGCGCGGTGATGGACGCCGCCCCGGCCCTTCCCTGACCCTCCCCACCGAAGCGCTGCTTGTTCTGCGTCTGAGGGCCGCCTGCCCCCAGCACCCGGCCAAGGCCCACCCAGCGACCGCATGCACATTCGGGCCTCCAGTACAGGAAGGTATTCACAGGAGTTTAGCGCGGGCGGAAACCCACAGACCTGCAAGAGGAAGCCCCACGGAGGTTGGTTTCCTCACGGGCCTCAGCGCCTCACTTGAGGTCCAATTGCCAGACCAAAACTTCCTCTGCCATACCCACCTGCTTCCTAGCAGGGGTGGGTGCGCATAACCTTGCACTGCCCTGCGGTGGTTAGGGTGAGGAAGGAAACTCATAATACAGCGTGCGTAGGCCTGCCTGCCTTTCCCCTGCCCACAGCAGCGGGGCCGAGCTGTTCCCTTCTTAGCCTGTTCCTGCTCGCTGGTTCCATACGGTACCGCGGAGCTGGGCCGCCCATCTCCTCTTGCCACCAGTTACGTCCTTTTCCTTCCAAACGCAGCTCGGCGTCTCGCCCCTCTCTTTCGTGTGTTGCCAGTGCCACTGTCCTGAAACAGCTGTGGCGTGGACCCTCGCGGCACAATGTGAACTCCATGAGAGCCAAGATCCCATCTGATGCCTTCCCCATTGTGTTGCCAGTGCCTGGGACAACAATTTGCAAGTTTAAGGGATTCGATAAATATTTGTGGGATGATTATGTAAGAACTTTTTGACATTGTGCTAGAATTTTCCATTCGCTGCCAGTCTTTGTTCTGGCCTAGCTAACTACCTGTCCAAACACTGCCCAAATAGATATGTGCATCAGTGTATAGATAAATGTAAGTATGTGGTAAGATAAACACGAAATGTGCCAAACACATGCCTCCTACACCACTTTCCTTCCCCATAACTTTACTGAATGAAAAGCTGGGAGAAGAAATGCCAGGCTAACAGATTTTATAATGCAACAAGTACTAACCATGGAGTAGGCATATCCAGCCAACAATTCTAACAATCTCTATTAGGTTAAAAAAATGGGCTGATAAGTAGGAAACCATGTGGGTAGTCATAAAAGTCATGTTAAAATTACAGAAGGTTAAAAAGACTGTTTAAATTTCTAGTTGATAGCAATAAATGTTTAGCCTTGTGTAGTGAGAACCCTTAGAAACACAGCGAAGAAAGTTTGCTCATACCACCTCTCTCGCCTTCCCACCACTGCCACGTTTTTCTTCCCAGTCTCCAAACCAACTAAACTGTTTGCTGTCATACTACAACACTTACTGAGGAGCCCTTGCAGACAACAAATATAGTTTAAGTAGGTAAATGTAAATAGCAATGCTCCCTGTCTAAGCACCTTGGGGAAAGGTAGGACCACCTCCAGCAGGAGAAAGAGTTCTGAGAGCACCACGGACCACCTGATGTTGCTACTTCCCTGTTGGGGGCCCTGGTATGCTGGGAGGGACCGTAAAATAGGGTCCTTTGTCCACTGGGTGTAAGCTTTACTTAGTAACCAAAGACTGGGGAAGTGAGAACTTGGCTCACTAATCTCAGCCCGCTGGGGCTGAGTCCTCACCGATCAGGCAACAGGAGGAAGGAGAGAAACATTCACGGCTTTTATGGTACAGGGGCCATTTATTTCTCAGAATCAGGGAGCTGCCTTCTGTTCCTCCTTTTAGGGCTGCTCCTGGATGTTGCCATGGTGATTGTTAACTGTCACGGTGCTGGTGGGAGTATCACTTAGCATGGAAATGAGATACAGTGAAGTCTGAGGCCTTAGGAAGATGGCTTAATCAGCCATATGTTTTTTAAAGAGTCATTTATTTGAAAGGCAGTGCCACCAAGAAAGGGAGACACGGTGACAGAAAGTGATATGCCATCCATTGGTTCACTCCCCAAATGTCAATAGTACTCCCGGGGCTGGGCTGGGGCTGGACCAGGGCTGGGCGAGGTACCTGGAACTCCATCTAGGTCTCCCACATGGATGGCCGGGGTCCAAGCACTTCGGCCATCTTCCGTTGCTTGCCAGGCACATTAGCAGGGAGCTGGAATGGAGGACGAACAGCCAGGACCAGAACCAGCACTCCAATGTGGGACACTGGCATTGCAGGTGGGGGCGTAACTCGTGCCACCAAGCTGGCTGCAGTCATACTGCCTCGCTGGTTATCCTGAGGGGGAACCTGTTGGCAGCAGGGTGTCCAGTTCTCAAAGAGAAAGAGCGCTAGGGTAGGGGTAGAACCTTAACAAGGGAGTGCAGCCACTGCTCTAGGAACAACGCTGTGCCTATTGTTTTCCTTAACAGTTCATTCTTCATCCTGTTTCTTCTATATGATCACACTGACTTTTTTTTAAAACTCTAACAAATACAGTAAATGGACAGTGAAGAAATCTTAAGTGGGCAGGTCATTAAATTATCACGAACCGAACACATAGAACCACAACCTGAGTCAATGAAACAGAAGATTACTAGCACCTGAAGCGTCCCTTCATCATCCCAGCCCCTACCCCTTCCTCACAGGTAACCAAGGTTGCTCTTCTCTGGCTTTCCCATGACTTAAATCATGCTGCAGGCATCTTGGTGTCTGGTGTCTCTTCTCTGACGTTACAGTTATGAGATTCATCCATATTGTCGTACACAGAATAGTTGCCTCCCGTTGCATAGCCTTCCATTGTATGAATATACCAGAATTTGCTATTGTTGGACATTCAAGTTGTTGCTGGCTTGGAGCTAGTGTAAGTAGTGCTGCTATAAATATTGCCTTTGGTTTGCATGCACACAGTTCCTGTGGAAAATACCTAGAATTACAAGGTTCTAGTTCTATGTTAAACTGAGTAGATAACACTAAAACAGTTGCATGGATCCCACTTCTAGCAGCTCACTCACATTCGAGTCCATTTGCAGGTGTGTTGCCTTTGCATTCCCTTATTACTAATTAATTAGTAAGGAAATGTCTTTTCAAATGTTAGACGAGCATTTGGAGACCGTCCCAGTGGCAGCCATGGCTAAGTTCAGTCTATTTTAGCAGCCTTATTGATTTAGAATTCTTTGTGACTTCTGCCTTCAGGTCCTGTGTCAGTTAAATGTGTTAAAAAGCCGTTGCCCATGGAGGCTTGCTTCTTCACTGTTAAGATTTCCACGTGATGTCCTGAAGTTCTGAATTCCAACAGAAACCCATGTCAATCTGCTCGTAATGGTTAATGCTTGAAACATTCTACTGTGCTGTTTTGTATAAACTTTGTTATCAGGATTTATTTTTGTGTGTGGTGTGGCAGGGACCGAACTACTTGAGCCGTCGTCTGCTGCCTCTCGAGATGCACGTTAGCAGAAAGCTGGGATTGGAAGCCAGGAGCCAAGACTCGGGATACGGGTGTCCCAAACAGTTTCTTAATCGCTGCACCAAATGCCTATCCCCTTAAAAATGTTTTATGGCATTTTATATGGAAGTCTTGTGCTTTTCATCAGATTCATTCCTGTCCACTTGATTTTGGTATGATATTTTAAGCTTTATAATCCTATGTTTGATAAATTGATTTTTGTTGATCTTGCTTCCAGAAACCTTATTAAGCTCATTTATTCCAAGAGTCTATTATTTTTCTGAATTTTGTGCACATCTGGAAATGTCGCCTGCCGAGGGTTTGGACGTTGGTGCTTTTGTGTCTCGCCTTTCCTGTTGCACTGGCTAGAACCTCTGGTGCAGCGTAGGGAGTGGAAGAGATGATGGGGGAGCCTCCTCACTCTGCATTCGCATCTTCCCATCTCATAAGATTTTTATGACAGTTTTTTTGGTAGCTGCTCTTTATCATAGAAAGAAATGTGCCTTTCTATTCCTAGTTTGCTATAGATTCAAATAATAAATAATATTGAATTTTACCACAAGATTTTTCTTTTCTTTTCTTTTTTTTGGGGGGGGGGCGGGGACAGGCAGAGTGGACAGTGAGAGAGAGAAACAGAGAGAAAGGTCTTCCTTTGCCGTTGATTCACTCCCCAATGGTCGCTGCTGCCGGCGTGCTGAAGCCGGCGCACAGCGCTGATCCAAAGGCAGGAGCCAGGTGCTTCTCCTGGTCTCCCATGGGGTGCAGGGCCCAAGCACTTGGGCCATCCTCCACTGCACTCCCGGGCCACAGCAGAGAGCTGGACAGGAAGAGGGGCAACCGGGACAGAATCTGGCGCCCCGACCGGAACTAGAACCCGGGGTGCCGGTGCTGCAGGTGGAGGATTAGCCTATTGAGCCATGGCGCCGGCCCCAAAAGATTTTTCTGAATCTATTCATAATCATTTATATTATTCTGTTTAATGTGAGTTACACAGCATGGTTTTGAAATATAGACTCATTCTTGAGTGATTCAAATAAACCCAATTTGATCAGTTATTATTTTTTTAAAGATTTATTTATTTATTTATTTATTTGAAAGAGTTACACAGAGAGAGGAAAGGCAGAGAGAGAGAGAGAGGTCTTCCATCCATTGGTTCACTTCCCAGATGGCCGCAACGGCTGGAGCTGCGCTGATCTGAAGCCAGGAGCCAGGAGCTTCCTCTGGGTCTCCCACATGGGAGCCCAAGGACTTGGGCCATCCTCCACTGCCCTCCCAGGGCACAGCAGAGAGCTGGATTGGAAGAGGAGCAGCTGGGACTAGAACTGGCGCCCACATGGGATGCCGACGCTTCAAACCAGGGCGTTAACCAACTGCGCCACAGCGCTGGCCCCCAGTTATTATTTTTATATATTGCTTAATTTGATTTGCAAATATTTCATTTGGAGTGTGCAACTGTGTCCACGAATGAAATGGGTCTGGCACTGTTCTTTCTTGAAGGCTTTCTCAGGTTGTGGTGTGAAGATTATGCTAGCCAATTTGGAATTGTTTGTTCTTTTTGCATGCTCCAGAAAGGGCGATGTAAGTGGCATTTATATGTTCAGTATTTGGTATCATATTTGGTAGGACTCACTCATAAAAGCATTTAGTCCTGGAGTTTTCCTTGTGAAAAGATTTTTAATGAAGGATTCAATGTCCTTAATAGTTCCAGGGTTGTTCAGAATTTCATTTTGATAAATTATATTTTCTAGAAATGTGTCCATTTCACGTCACTTTTCTGATATAGCAGCAGAAAATTGTTCAGGATAATCTTGGTTTTTTAAACTGTGTAGAACTCATAGGAATTTTTGCTTTTTCATGTTTTCCTGATCAACTTTACCACTTCTAATAATCTTCAAAGAACAATCCTTGCCTTGCTGATTTTCTCTCTGGTCTTCATTATTTCTCTCCCTCTACTTTAAAAAAATTCTACTTAATCTTCCTTCTTTAATTCATGAGAAGTTTAGTTAGATCACTGATGTTCAGAATTTTGGTGGTGAATGGCTAAACTTATTGTGCTAATTTCCTAAATGTAGAATTTAGGAGCATGGTGTTAATAAAGGAGAAACGGGCCTATAAAATGGGGATATGTTCGGGAAGTTTTGTGGAGTATTTTCTGCGTGACGTCAGTAATCTAATCCTATCACACCTGGTTAATTTCTGTTTACTACTATGAGCATTGATGACTCAATTCCCATCGAAGCACGGCTTCACTGAATCCCACAAGCATTAAATATGGAGCATTTTCCTTACTTAGTGTAAGATGTGTTCTGCTTTTTGTCATGATTTTGTCTTTTATTCATCTGCTATTTAGGAGTTTGTAAGTTTCTAAACATGTGTGATAGATTCCTAGATCAATTACACTGTGGCCAGAGAAACACAATAAATGGATTTAAATTTTTAAGTTTGTTGAGACTTCTATTAAGTTCAACATGATCAGTTTTTTAAATGTCCTATCTGCACATGAAATGAATGGGTATTCTGCAGCTGGGTAAAATGTTCTATGTGTGTCTATCATACTATCTATCATATTTATTTGTCTACTTATTTGATCAATTGCTGGGAGAGGTATGTTAAATCTTCCATGGTGATTTTAAATTTATGTATTTTTAAAAATTTTTTTAAACATTTATTTTATTTATTTGAAAGACAGAGTTAGGCAGGCGCCGCGGCTCACTAGGCTAATCCTCCACCTTGTGGCGCCGGCACACCAGGTTCTAGTCCCGGTCGGGGCACCGGATTCTGTCCCGGTTGCCCCTCTTCCAGCCCAGCTCTCTGCTGTGGCCAGGGAGGGCAGTGGAGGATGGCCCAAGTGCTTGGGCCCTGCACCCGCATGGGAGACCAGGAGAAGCACCTGGCTCCTGCCTTCGGATCAGCGCGGGGCGCCGGCCGCAGCGGCCATTGGAGGGTGAACCAACGGCAAAAGAATACCTTTCTCTCTGTCTCTCTCTCTCACTGTCCACTCTGCCTGTCAAAAAAATAAAAAAAATAAAAAAAAAAAAAAACAAATAAAAGACAGAGTTACAGAGAGAGGTAAAGACAGGGAGAGAAGTCTTCCATCCGCTAGTTCATTCCCCAGATGGCCGCAATGGAGGAAGCTGCACTGATCCAAAGCCAGGAGCCAGGAGCTTCCTCCTGGTCTCCCACGTGGATGCAGGGGTCCAAGGACTTGGGCCATCTTCCGCTGCTTTCCCCGGCCATAGCAGAGAGCTGGATTGGAAGAGGAGCAGCCGGCACTTGAGACCAGGGCTTTACCCCGCTGCACCACAGCGCCAGCCCCTAAAATTTTTATTTAATTGAGAGGTACAGAGAGAAAGGTCTTCGTTCTGCTAGTTCACTCCCCAAATGGCCACAATGGCTAGAGCTGGGCTGATCTGAAGCCAGGAGCCAGGAGCTTCTTCCAGGTCTCCCACGTGGGTGCAGGGGCCCAAGGACTTGGGCCATCTTCCGCTGCCTTCCCAGGCCATAAGCAGAGAGCTGGATTGGTAGAGGAACCCTGAGACATGAACTGGCCCCCATGTGGGATGCTGGTGCCACAGGCAGAGACTTAGCCTACTATGCCACAGTGTCAGCCCCCTAAATTTATATTTAAATTCTCAGTTCCAGTAGTTTTTGTGTTATATATTTTGCAGCTTGTTAGTAGGTACATGATGCTAATATAGCCACAAGAGCCTTCCTTAGGTTCATTTTTGCATAGCGTATCTTTTCCTTTCCTTTTACTTTCAGTCTTTCTGTATCCTTAAGGGTTTAGGCATTGCTGCCCTTTGAAGAGAACGAACCTTTTCCCTCTGTCGCCTGTTAAATTCTTCCTCTTCATTTTCCAGTTCTATGATGAAACACATAGGTTTGGTTTCCTGTTTTTATTTTGAGAAGTGTAAGGGCTTCTTGGTGCTTTTGTAAAGCAGCTCCGTGCCCTCCCTTCATTTTATAAACCCCCAGCTCTTAGTTGTTCAGACGCTGCTTCTGCCTTGCTGCTTCTCTGTCCTCTGGGACCACAATGTACTTTTTCATCTCATTCCCTTTGTCTCTTATGACCTTTTCATACTTTCCATTTTCTTTTTGTCTCTCTCGTCATCATTCTGGACATTTTCTTTCGACGGATGTTTGAGCAGATTAGCACATACCTAGAAAGTCTGCTTCCGGGGTGTGATCTGAAGAGGCCATCAGAAATGACCCAGACTTGTGTACATGGAGTATTTTCATAAATGACAGCGCATCTGTACAACAGAGTGCTGTCAGGCACAAAAACTGCACTGTAGAATACTTAATGGCATGGAAACATGGTGTATTAAGGGGAAACCAGCTTATAAAACATACTGAAAGGGACTGGCACTGTGGCACAGTGGGTACAGCCATCGCCTGCGACACCACATCTCATGTGTGCACTGGTTCAAGTGCCAGCTGCTCCACTTCTGATCCAGCTCCCTACTAATGCTCCTGGGAAAGCATCAAAGAATGGCTCAAGTGCTTGAACCCCTGCACCCACATGGGAGACCTAGATGAACCTCCTGGCTGCTGGCCTGGCCTGGACCAGCCCTGGCCGTTGCAGCCATTTGGGAGTAAACCAGTGGATGGAACATGTGTGTGTGTGTATGTGTGTGTGTGTGTGTGTCTGTCTGTCTCCCTCCCTCCCTCCTTCCCTCACCCTACCTTTCTGTCTTTCCCTCTCTCTCTGTAACTCTACTTTTCAAATAAATTAATTTTTAAAAAAAATATAGAATGGTCCCAATTAAAAAAAAAACTTAGAAAAGGGCAAAAATGCAGTGAGACACAGTTTTAGTTATAGATTACAAAATTATGACAAATTTTTAGTTTCTGTTTCTCTGTGTGATGCAAACTTTTTGCAGTGAAACAATGTATTACTATTATAAAGGGAAAAGTTATTTTTAAATGCCAATAATTGATTTCCTAAAACTCCATTTTATTAGTTGTATATTTCTTTGTAGAGAAAGATGTATCTATTCTTAGAAGTAGTTTAGGAAGTAGCTAGGGGAAATTGGTCATAATTTTATGAACACAAAAATAAGCCTTTTAAAATTGTATTTAAAACCAAAATAATTTTAGATATAATGATTCATGTTACAAAGGAACTCTTCACAAAATTTCTTTTTTTTTCTTAAAGATTTATTTATTTATTGAAAGAGTTACACAGCGAGAGGAGAGGCAGAGAGAGAGAGAGAGGGGTCTTCCATCTGATGGTTCACTCCCCAGTTGGCTGCAATGGCCAGAATGCTATCCCAGGCCATAGCAGAGAGCTGGATCGGAAGAGGAGCAGCCGGGACTAGAACCGACGCCCATATGGGATGCAGTGCTTCAGGCCAGGGCGCTAACCCACTGCGCCACAGCGCTGGCCTCCACAAAATTTCTTAATAAAATTTCTTTAACTTGGGTATGCACAGCCTATGGTATAGTAATCAGAGATGCCCGCTGAAATGGTTTTTCCAAAAGTCTGAAGGCAACTGCCACTAACAGGGGCCTTAAGTAAAGTGGCCACGCGCTCCATTTTCATGTCTTCATCTCTTCGTACTCTCTCTCCCCAGGCCTTTTCCGGATCGTCTTTTCCTGACATCTTCCACGTTCTCCTCGAGGTGCCCAGTCTTGTTACCCTCTTAGTGTCCAAATCTTCCTTCTGGCTCCCTCCTACCCCCAGAGCTTCCCCTGCAGACCAAAATCCCCAGTTCACACTGTACTTGTCTTCAGGAGAGTATTAAAGCCCCTCGTATTATCTCATTACAGCCATCTTCCATATGTTAGAAAGGATTTATGATTAGGTTCTCCAGAATCTTGTTACAGCCATGATATCCAGGAACAATACTAGTAGTAGCAGCTAGAAGCTGCTGATTTAGAGCAACGAGTTGTAAGCAGAGAGCTTGTAGACATCTGCCTGAGCAGGTTTATGTTTTATGAGCACTCAAGGACAGCGAGACAAAGCTCAGTGTAGGGGCCAGCGCTGTGGCGTAGGAAGCTAAGCCTCTGCCTGCGGCGCTGGCATCCCAGATGCTCTTCTCCCAATCCAGCTCTCTGCTATGGCCTGGGAAAGCAGTGGAAGATGGCCTAAACACTTGGGCCCTGCACCCATGTGGGAGACCTGGCTTCAGAGACGCTCAGCTCTGGCCATTGCATCCATTTGGGAAGTGAACCAGCAGATGGAAGACCTTTCCCTCTCCCTCTGTCCAGCTGTAACTGTCTCTCAAATAAATAAATAAATAAAATCTTAAAAATAAAAAAAAAAGCTCGGTCTATAGATTCAACTTGCCTGAATCCAGTTCCAACCTTACTGATAAATGTGACTTTGACAAGTATTATCTGTACTCTCTTACTGCTTGTAACTTTTAAGATTTATTTATTTATTTGAAAATGAGAGTTACAGATAGCCAGAGAGAGAGAGAGAGAGAGAGAGAGAGAGAGAGAGAGAGGTCTTCCATCTGCTGGTTCACTCCCCAGATAGCTGCAATGGCTGGCGCTGTGCTGATCCGAAGCCAGGAGCCAAGAGCTTCTTCTGGGTCTCCCACATGGGTGCAGGGGCCCAAGGACTTGGGCCATCTTCTGCTATCCCAGGCCATAGCAGAGAGCTGGATCGGAAGTAGAATAGCTGGGTCTTGAACTGGCACCCACATGGGATGCCAGCACTGCAGGTGGTGGCTTTACCCGCTGCCACAGCGCAGGCCCCTGCTTGTAACTTTTGAAAGATCAACCTCTCAGGCAGGCTCCCCTTTGCTATAATTTTCCTCTGGTTTACATTTCGAGACTACAGGTAATGCAAGGCCATGCTGGTGACCTCTCACGGTTCAGCTCAGGAGCTGGACGGAGGCCCTGTGCAGAAAAGTGCACGTCTCTTTGAAAGCTTGTCCAGGACACGAGTGCCTTTGTCGGCTGGTGGACCAAAGGGACTGATCATTTGTAGACTGGAGATCCCTGAGAAGCCAGGCCTGACTTGCTACTTGTGTTAATTGTCTTTCAGGGCTGGCGCCGCGGCTCACTAGGCTAATCCTCCACCTTGCGGCGCCGGCACACCGGGTTCTAGTCCCGGTCGGGGCGCCGGATTCTGTCCCGGTTGCCCCTCTTCCAGGCCAGCTCTCTGCTGTGGCCTGGGAGTGCAGTGGAGGATGGCCCAAGTCCTTGGGCCCTGCACCCCATGGGAGACCAGGATAAGCACCTGGCTCCTGCCTTCGGATCAGCGCGGTGCGCCGGCCGCAGTGGCCATTGGAGGGTGAACCAACGGCAAAGGAAGACCTTTCTCTCTGTCTCTCTCTCTCACTGTCAAACTCTGTCAAAAAAAAATTGTCTTTCAGGTGTTCAGGCCAAAGGGAAAGTGTGTGGAGCACGACTGCCCAGACAGACGGACGGAGGCCAGGGTGCCCTGCAATGACCTTCCTCTCAGACGCTCCATCCAGAAAGTCAGACGCGGATGGGGATGCGACATCAAGAGTGTGCAGAGAGATGTCTTTCAGAGCGCTGCAGGAGAAAGAAGAGACGTGTTGGAAAACACAACATCACATGTTTCAATGCGCTACGGATATTCAGATTGTCAGTGCCCATACATATCTTTGCTATTGTAAATCTGTCACTTCTAGATAATTTGATGGTTGAATGTCAGCAATGTTTTGTCTACCTCTAAAGTAAAAATGTGCCTGCCTGCCAAGATAATGAAGATGATCCGTCTTCCCTACCTTTACCTTTTTTCTATCCTATTGGTGGAAATAGGAAGGTTTCCAGATCAAGGTTAAGCACTGAATTTTTGAAAAATTTTTATTTGAGAGAGAAGGAATTCTCATCTGCTGAATCACCCCCCAGATGCCCACAAAGGCTGGGCCTGGCTGAAGCTGAGAGCTAGGAACTCAGTCCAGGTCTCCAATGCATGGCTGGAATCTAATTACTTAAGTCAATGCTGCTGCCTCCTGGAATTCACATCATCAGGAAGCTGCAGTCAAGAGTCAGACATGGGGCAGCACCGTGGCTCACTTGGCTAATCCTCTGCCTGCGGCGCCAGCACCCTGGGTTCTAGTCCCGGTTGGGGCACTGGGTACTAGTCTCAGTTGCTCCTCTTCCAGTCCAGCTCTCTGCTGTGTCCCAGGAGGGCAGCAGAGGATGGCCCAAGTGCTTGGGTCCCTGCACCTGCATGGGAGACTGGGAGGAAGCACCCAGCTCCTGGCTTCGGATCCGTGCAGCGCCGGCTGTAGCAGCCATTAGGGGAGTGAACCAACAGAAGGAAGGCCTTTCTATCTGTCTCTCTCTCACTGTCTATAACTCTACCTGTCAAATAAAAAAAAAAAAAGTCAGACATGGGAGCAAGCCCAGACACCATGGAATGTGCCCACACTACCCATAAGTGTTGAATTTTTCAAAATTTTTAAATGTACTTATTTTTCATTTTACTTTTAAAGGCAGACAGATAGATAGACAGATCTTGGAGAACTTTTATCTGATGGTTCACTCACCAAATGATCACAGCATGTGAGGATGTGCCAGGCTGAAGCCAGGAGCCAGGAACCTAATCACGGTTTCCCACTCAGGTGACAGGGACCCAACTAACTTGAGCCATTACCTGCTGCCTCCCAGGATCTGCGTTAGCAGGAAGGTGGATCAGACAAAGTCAAGACTTGGACCAGGCATCTTAACCACTAGGCCAAATGCCTGCATCTTCTACCCATACCCACCACCACTATCTAGGCTTAACTCAGAGGCAGCATTCCTATGGGACTTATTCGACATTCACTAGTTAGGGTATCATTGGTGGTCTAGTATGATACAAGGAATGATTCGGGAGTGAAGCTGGGACATTTACCCTTGACCGCTCATTTCCTGGGTTAGTATTTATCTGTGTTCATTTGTAGCACTAGGAGATTGCGGGCTCGGTCCCATGAGTGTCTCTTGAAGCCATGGCTCCAATGGAAATTTTTGAAGAGAATCAGTGTAGAGAGAGAGTTTCACATGGTCAGATTGCTTCGTTAATGAACTCTACCTGCATCAGTTGCTAGGGCAACACATGAATTGATTAATTAATTTAGGTTGGAGTTGTATCATCATGCACAAAGGTATCACGTTTCTACCATGTCCCACTGCGGTGTCAGTTTTTTCTGGACATAATTATGCCATGAAGATTAGCTGCCCATCTGCTGTTCACCAGGAAAACTGCCATCGCAATTTATATCAGCAAGTAAATAAACTGTTAGAGAGGTTGGTGAGAAACTTATTATAACTCTGATCTTGCTTGTATTGAGAATAAAAATAAATGTCATTTTACACCTCCCGTGTCTTCTTGTTAGTTCCACGCTGTTGGAATAACTTGTGTGAATTCTACCCTTAAGGCTGAAATAACAGAACAACGTGATTTTTCTCCAAAGTTAATTTCATGTCCGAGTTAATTTGAAGGGTATATTTTAAATTTAAGGCAGGGAATAATGTGAATAAAGTATGCATACAAGTTGTGAGCCTGACCTTCCAGAAGAGGTTGGGTTAGTTCGCTGGGATGGAGCCAGTGATGGCGTCATGGAGGCTCTGTGAGGAGAGACCACGGAGAGGTGAGGGGAGGAGGGGCTTCTCAAGTGTTTCTGTGCCTGCCCCTCCGCACACACCCTCCACTGCCAGTCTCCACCAGAGGCCAGACCCACGGGGCTCCCTGATCTTGAACTCTGACCTCTAAACCGTAAGCTAACACAAACCTTTCCCTTCCCAAGAAGCTCCTGTTGGGTACTCTGAAATAATGAGACTCCAGCTCATACAGATAGTGACTAGGCTAAGGTTGCGAGAGCATGACTGGGGGCGGCGGGGGGCGGCGGGGAGCTCTTTCAGACGTGCTAACCAGAAAGTGCCTCTGGGGAGACTGGGAGCCCAGACCTGGGCAAGCTGGAGGACCTGCGGAGGAGCCAGCCGGACTGTAGGGGCAGAGGTGCAGCAGGGGCTAGTGCACCCAGTGAGAAGGCTGACGTGGCCACAGATGGCATGGGCAGAGGTCAGCCAGAGCTGGGCTGGAGCAGGATGTAAGAACAGATCCTGATGTCCATCTCATCCTAGGCCCGGTTCTGTTTATAATGTGTACTTGTGACTGGCTTAATGATCTGCCAGTGTTTACTTCCTAAGAAATCTAACTGGAGGACCACAGCAGGCTAAGCCACCACTTGGGATGCCAGCATCTCGTATCAGAGTGCTGGTTCCAGTCCCAGCTACTGCACTTCTGATCCAGCTCCCTTCTAATGCACCTGAGAAAGCAGCAGCAGATGGCCCAAGTTCTCAGGCCACATGGGAGACCTGGGTGGAGTCCTGGCTCCTGCTTTCAGCCTGGCCCAGCTCTGGCCACTGCAGTCATCTGGGGATCGAGCCAGCAAATGGAAGATCTCTCTTTCTGTTTCTCCCTCTCTCTCTCACTCTGGACTTTTGTCAAGAAAACAGTAATATATCAAGAGCATGAATGTAGAGTGTGTTCATCCGAAACTTGTTATGGGTGTCTGCGAAGCTGCAGCAGTACTGGCGAGGAGTGACAGGTGAGAACTCTCGCTGCCAGGTGAACAGAGGCAAGCAGTGGACAGGAAGCCAGAGGGAAAACCCGTCCCCCAAATCTGACAGTCGCTGACCTCAGGGGCCCGGCACAAAGCAGCTTTGTGCTCAGCTGCCACCCCTCACAGGGGAAACCAGGTGTTGATTTTGAGTCCAGTCAGGTTAACTGGCAATTCAAGCAAAACTCAACTGCTTTGGAAAAAAGATAACAGAATTCATCTTCCAAATCAGTCAGCACAAAATTAGAAGCTATTAGTCATGTGAGGAAATTGGAAAGAATCAAGACAAAAAGGAATCAACAGAACCCACCCCCAAGACAACCGAACATTAGAACTGGCAGACAAGAACAGACAAGCAACTATTAGAAGCACATTCAAGGAGAAAAATATGAGTTTGTAGAAATAAGTTTATGTAATAAATTAGATCCATGCAGTCTTTTAATCATGTGTGTTTCTGCAAACTTTTTAGTTTACTCTCATACAGTAATAATGAAAGAACAGATGGGAAATCTCTGGAGAAATAGAAACTGGAGAGAGAGAGAGAGAGAGAGAGAGAGAGAGAGAGAGAGAGAACCAAGTGGAAACTTGAGAAGGTACTTACCAAAATTGGCACAAGAAGAACCAAGTTCAAAACAGCCCGGTATCTACTTTTAAAAATGAATTTGTATCCAACAAAGAAAACTCCAGGCCCAGAAGACCTGACTTATAAGTCCTACAAAACATAAAAGAAAACTACCAGTCTCAGCCAGGCTCTTCCAAGAACGAAGGACAGAGGAGCACTTCCCATGCCGTGAGCTCACTGTTACCCAGGTACCAAAGCAAGGCTGAGACGCTGTGAGGTAAGAACTCCCAGACCCGTGTCCCTCTGAACACGGCAGTGAAAATCCTTAACAATCAGCAAGCACATCCCACTATACGTTATAAAAATAATGAATTGTGGCCAGCACCGCAGCTCACTAGGCTAATCCTCCGCCTGCGGTGCCGGCACTCCAGGTTCTAGTCCCGGTTGGGGCACCGGTTCTGTCCTGGTTGCTCCTCTCCCAGTCCAGCTCTCTGCTGTGGACCAGGAAGGCAGTGGAGGATGGCCCAAGTGCTTGGGCTCTGCACCCCATGGGAGACCAGGAGAAGCACCTGGCTCCTGGCTTTGGATCGGCGCAGCGCCGGCCGCGGCGGCCATTTGAGGGGTGAACCAACGGAAGGAAGACCTTTCTCTCTGTCTCTCTCTCTCATTAACTCTGCCTGTCAAAAAAATAATAATTAATTGTGTCCATGTATCATTTATTTCAGCAATACCAGATTGGTTGAGCTTGAAGAAAACCAATGTAATTCACCACATTAAGAGAATAAAGGGGGGAAATCATATCTCATGAGATTAAGACAGAAAACCTGACAAAAGTGAACAACTATCATGACAAAACCTACTAGCAAATTTAGAAGACAGGAATTCTCTCCAGGTGACAACTGACACCAGGAAGTAGGCACAGGTAACTGATAGTGCATGGTCCCTGTGACGCTTTCTCCTCAGCATCAGGAACAGGGCCAGGGTGTCCATGTTGAGTCAGCATGGAGCTGACAATCCTCATTGGAGGAGCAAAGGCACACAGGGCAAAAAGAAGGGAAAGAAAATCTGTGGGTGCTTAAAGGAAGAGATATGAAATACAGTTGTCTGTTTTAAAGATTGTATAATCGTGCCCAGAGAAATCTACAAAAGAACAGCAATAAGTGAGTTAGCAAAGTCAAGTTACAAAGTTAACTTTGACTTCTATATCCTAGCAATGAATAATTGGAAAGTGAAATAAAAATTCATTGACAGAATAGAAGATACACAAGATTTAAAAAAACATAACAATACTAGAGACAGAAGGGGACCACACATTGCTGATGGAATATAAAATGTTACAGTTACTGCGGAGAATGTCTAGGAAACGTCCATCGCGTGCCCATGTCTTTTAGCCCAGCAATTCAAGTCCAAGGTTTTTACTAAAGAGAAATTTAAAAATTCGTCCATACAAAGCCTTACCAAATGTTCCTAAGAGCCAAAACCTGAAAACATTGCAAATGCCCACCAACAGGTAAATGGATAAGCAAACTGTAGTTTATTCAAACAATGAAATCCTCTTAGCAATAAATAAATAAAACAAAATATACATATAGCAGCACAGATGAATTTTGAAAAAATGCAAAGTGAAAAATGCAGCACAGTGAATTTTGAGAAAATCTAGACTCAAATAAGAGAACTCCATCCCGGTCTCCCACATGGGTGCCAGGGCCCAGGCACTTGGACCATCTTCTGCTTTTCCCAGGCCATCAGCAGGGAGCAGGACTGGAAGTACAGCACCAGGACTTGAGCCAGTGCTCCTATGAGATGCCTTGCAGCTGCTCTGCAGGTGGCAGCTTAGCCCACTGTGCCAAAATGTCGGCCCCTAGTCTATATTTCTATTTGTATAAAACTCTAGAAAGTGGAAATTGAAACTTTAAGACTGGGGTAAGGGGCACAGGGAGAGCCTGTGTAGAAGGTTCCGTGTCATGATGGTTCCTTTGACACGTCCATTGCACTTGTGTGTAAATCACACCTTTATAGAGTTGCTGAAAGATGAGGTAGCACAGGGCTGGCATAGTGGGTAAAGCCACCACCTGTGACGCCGGCATCCCTTTTGGGCGCTGGTCCATGTCGCAGCTGCTCCACTTCCGACCCAGCTCCCTGCAAATGTGCCTGGTAAAGCAGCAGTAGAAGATATCCCAAGTGCTTGAGCCCCTGCTGCCTACAGGGGAGACCTGGAGGAAGCTCCTGGCTCCTGGCTTCAGCCTGGCCCAGAGCTATCTGCAGAGTGAACCAGCACATGGAAGAGCTCTCTCCCTTGCTGTCTGTCCCTCCCTCTCTGTCACTCTGCCTTTCAACTAAATAAAATAAACCCTTTAAAAAAAAAGATGAAGGCAGTGCACACAAATGCTAAATGAGGAGTTCAAACAATAGCATATGTGGTTTTTCACAAAGCAGATAAAATTGTAATGATCCATTAAGGAGAGAGAGGACACTGACAGGGCTTAAAAACCAAAACAAACAAGCAACTGAAGACGCAGAAAAAGGCAGCTTGGGCATGAAGGTGTCCGAAGCCGAGGATGCTTGAGTCAGCAGGATCATGGTCTCGCTACATGGAAGGAGGGAGTTGTGAGAGATCCCGGGGGAGGTGGGTCGTTAGCCACAGGGCTTTGGATTTTTGCAGGAAAGTGTAGGAGGCAAATGGTTCTGGAGTTGCTGAAGGAAGAATTGAAAGGAAAGGGCTTGAGAGGGTTGAGATTTGTGTCTGCAGTAGTCTTGCCTTGAGAAGATAAACAACTGACCTGGAGTGGCAAAGGCAAAAAACGAAGGGGACACCGAATTGGAAGAGCCGACTGGAATGCTGAGGAGCAATTTAGACCCGGATTTGTGTCCAAGGAAGAGCCAGCGATGATTGAATTTTAAAGCCTGAGTCACAAAGAAAGGCAGTACCATCAGTAGAGAGGAGGAGGAGCCAGTCTGGGGAGGAAGGTGCCATCTCTGATTTTAGAAGCCAGTTGTTTGAGAAACTTACCCTGACCCTGACCCTCTCCTTACCCTTACCTTAAGACTGGTGTCAATGTCACTGCTGCCACCCAGGCATGTCTGAGCTCCTCTGAGCACTGACGCTCTGAGCTCCAAATGCCTGATCTACATTCAGTCTCCTTTGCCAATCTCCCCACATGGCACCG